AATACGAAATTAGTCCATTTGTGTTAAGGTTTAATAGTTCGGAACAAATTTGATATGAAATTATATATAGTTTATATTAATAAATTTATTGTTGTATGCAATATAATTGCATATTATTTTATATTATTATATCATATTCTCATATTTGTTTGTAAAAGGTCGGTGTAAACCTGTCCGTAACTTTGCCCGCTCGAATCGAACAAATACCCCACTGTGCGACGTCGCGATCCCGGTTTTTCGACGAACCGTATGCAACGTGGATTACAGCCCCGAAACTATAGATCGGGCACGGAACTTGGACTCGCGTGCGCTCACCCGGCACGGTCATTGATTTGCAACGTGTTTATTTAGAGTACTTTGCCCCCTCCCTGTGTTTGGATTCAATATGCTCGTGCAGCCAACGGGTTTCTACTGAGTATTGATATTGGGTCGGCAAATAAGTCCACCATCTTTGTCCGTCCGTACCATAGTCATCGATAAACAGCAAATATCGCTGATCCACGTATGCTAATTCCTGCAACACGAGATTGGAAAAGTTTGATGCGGATTAACCGTTTGAGTGGCAAGCGACTTATTGTATGGCCGCCTGTGGACAAAACTCCAAAATTCGACTATTCATATAACGAAAAGTGAAGGTTACAAACGTGTTGTTAAATAGTCTCTGATATACGAAATGATTTTCATTTGAAAAATAAAAACTTACATATAAATTCCACTTCCCTGTTTATGTAACGTTTGGAATCAACACACAAAGTATCCTTTGTTATTGGAAAAATTTCATAATCACTCCATAATGTGAAAAAATATGAGCACCATATGCGTAGTTCTATACCTTACAACTTTTGTCTGAAGTTTCGTTCTTACTGAGTTTTGTTCAGAAAACGGTCGTTTAGCCGTACTGTGCGGCGCGATCGCGTTTCTGCGTTACACTGTCTAAAAGTGCCAGCTTATCGTTCGTAGAATCAAATTAAGTTTATTTATTTGTTATCCTTCTAATTATTTATTTTTATTTTTGTTATTACCTGCTCAGAAGTGGAAAAACGGAACAATCGAGCTATTTTCAATTTTTTAATGTAAAAATAGAAAAGCGTAATTCATACCGGATTTCGCAAAGACCCATGGCACTCGAACGGTGAATGATCTTTTCATGTTGTGTCCTTCGCGTTAACCAACTTTTCGGTGAAACTCGGCCTTTCATATTTGTGATGAACGTGTGGCTTAAATGAACATGGAAGTTAAACTATTGGAGTGTGCTTCTTGTAAGTGGGGAAATATGAAACGAGGCACGGAACAGTGTTAAGTGTGATTAATGAGAGGCCACGCGATCCGATGTGGGGAATACGATTATTCTCTATCATCGTTGTCATTTCAGGAATAGTTTTGAGTGACATGTAAGTAACGTCTGGTGAACGTAAAATATGTAACACGCGCGTGTCTTTGAAATTATTTTTAAATTTCATTCAAAAGAACTCGATATCGTCCAATCCTTCTATGCATGCAGATCTTTCTTAAATATAGAAGTTACTAAATAAAATGATAGTGATCGAATCTACAAACTTCTCTTTGCCAATAATACATCAAAACTCTAACCAAATCATCAACCAGCGATCTTAAATTAGAGATCATCAATATTTGGCCGATTTTCGAAACTAAAAAATACCAGAGAAACTTGTTATTATACACACGCAACTGCTCTGTTTATGAGTTGCGTCTCGAAAAGACAGCTCTCCTGACAACAGGGTATGTTTGCGAACGATGGTAGTTACGAGTTCCGTATGGCGCATTTGGCCACATCCGTTTCATGCCACCGCGCGTACGTCCATCAAGCCGAATGGATTCGTCGAAAGAACGGGATAAAAATGATATAGGGATCGGGCACGGGGAGTGCGTCCATTATCCGGCGTCTATAAAAAAAGTTTCGAAGACGTTCGAAGAGTCCCGTCGCTATATCAATAGCCAGATGTAATGGCGATAAAAGTTTCAATTGGAAAGAAAATATTGATACGTAATGCATACTTCACGAATACGTATACCGTACATCTTCCTCGATACCGATAAAACTCTCCATATGTTCCCGCCGCCCGTTGTCTAGCAGGAAATTCATTTCAACTTCGTGCCCCGCGCGTACTGAAACGCGACATTTGGGAGAAGTTCCTCGCGGTTGTAAATATTTATAGAGATGTAACGAAAATATACGTGTTGTTGATATAAAAACATGAGATCTTTTTTTTGCGGTAGGAAGGCTCGTGTATATATGCGCTGCTCGTTGAAAGTTTCAAACGTACTTCTTTCTTTGGATAACCGAAGCTGTTTTCAATATTGAATATTCATTGAACATTTCCCGACAGAAGGTAGTCATCTGCGATGAGAAATTTGAATTTGGAATAAGATCAGAAGTGAGATTCATTCAGAACTGAAGAAATGATTTTGCTCGCTACTTCTTGACCATACGATTAAGTCGAATCAAGAATAGTTGCGAACCAGATGATAGAAAGAGGAAGCTCCTCCGGATCCAAAGACCCGGAGCGAACTGAGAATTTTCGCTGGCGCATCCCTTGTTGCAGACTAGTGCTTACATCTCCCCACATCTCTGTTGCGCAGAAAATTGCGCGACGTATAGTGATCGATGGGATCGAAAATTTTTTTTTTAGAGGAATGAACACCGCGCGTCTCCAATCAACGTCTAGAATCCATAATCTCGAAAATGAATTCTTGTATATAAAAATTCTATTACACGTTTGTTTTGCTCTCATACGAAATTACTTTCTTATTGTAGAATCGACTCGAAAGTGTTTTCGGTCGTTTAATTACGATTATATACTCTAGTCGTTTGAAAATATATTTCCTTCGAATGTGATTCAACGAAATACAGGTTTTCTCCGCGACACGTCGGAAAATCGCGAGTTGCAACTGGGGTTGACTCCAGCTGCCGGAAAGGAAGATTAGATTACTTAGAACTGTCCCCTCGAGTTCAGCCGTAAAGAGGTTTATCGCAGCGGGGGCGGCGAGGGGTGAGAAGAAAGACACAAAAGAAATCGAACGCGTTGCTTGCCGATGTCGTAAAAGTGACCGGGTCCGTTGGCGTCAGCCCGGGCGAGGGAAACAACGGCCGTGCAGACATTAAGAAAAGTCGCGGGTTCAATAAACTTTCGAATAAAACGGTTGAGTTATTGATCTCCTCGTTACGTCACGTCGCCTCTTTTCCACCTGCCCGCCTGGAATAGAACAGCGGACTGCATTCGAGCGATGCAAGCTCAGGCAATCCGAAAAAAACGACTCGCGAAAGAAACGATTCTTCTGTTCAATTTATTTTCAATCTTCGCGATATCCGTTTGACCCCTTATTAGATCGAGTCGGAGTTGTGTTGCGGTTCTCGCGTTACATTCAGTAAATATTAATATTATTCTGTTTTTCTTTTTCAGTTGAAATGAGATTTTATTTTCTTCTTCTTAATATGTAACAGTTGAGGTAGATATAGATGTAGATATGTATCTATAGAATGCAGAGAAGCTACTTTGTCCTAAATAATTAGGTAAAATAATAGAACCAGCAAAATAAATCGTAAGACAATGGGTTGATAAGAAGTGAGAAATATGGATCGATTCGTGATTTGCATAAATCTTGGCGAATCGTTTATATACATTATAGTTTTGATGTCTCCGATTTCTGAATAGGATTTTTGAGTGAGAAAGTTGACGCGGGAAATTTACAAACAAACAGGCGGCAAGCGTGAACTTTGTTGTAATCTGATTAATGCGCGAGCAAACCGGTCGCTAGATTTATATTTGCTGAAAGGCTTTATAGCGCACTCGTCGCGATACGGAAAGTGGAGCGATGAAGCAGATCTTTATGAAGGGTTTCGCGAAAGCGGAAGGAGGCCCTTTGAGGTTGAAAATTGCGGAATATCCATATTTCATTTTCATCGAAGCCGCGGAGCGGAATGTTCGCCAGACAGTTTCCGTTTCTGATTTACGACCTATTTTAGGATAGTTCGGGTGTGATGCACGATACGGTCGAAGCATGTGATATTGAATCTGGAAAGTATACTGAGAAGAACGCGAGAAACACGTATACAGTGACGTAAAAATGATTTAAAAATATACAACAATCTGAAAAATTGAAAATCTTCGGTGTTCCTTCGTCGCGGACCAATTTTACTGCAACGCGCTTAATATCTTTCGTATCTTATATTTTTCTCCTTGAAATTTTCTTTCTGGAACATTGAAGACTTTCGGACACGTTCGATGAAAATATAATTAAAAGTTGATCCTCCACGTTCGCGCAACACGATGAAATATTAAACTGATTTACCAGAAAATAGAGGCTGCGTTCGAAACACGAGCGCAATTTGCTCAAGATGTATAGTCTGGCCGACCTGTTTTTATACTCTACTCTACAACAGAGCTTCTATTTTTATTCTTAAATTTAGCTCGGTATTTTCTCAGCGAGATACATATTAACAGGTTCCGGTGCACTTCAAGGTAACCGAAATAAATTACTCCCAATGAACCGTGCCTTCATTAAGCACACTTCAGCATGTTGATTACGTTTATAAACGAGAAACGAACAAATTCGTAGAACGTATGATATGTTTATTCTACCTGGAACATATATTAACAAGATACACGAATAATCTTCTGAACAACGAGTTGTAACATACCATTATTCATTACGTTGTTAATTCTCTTATCGACGGCATCTTCGAAAATCGCTCGGCGAATTCGAGAAAGCGCTCTGACCCATTAATTAAAGTGTTCAATTAACACGGACCGTTAATTATTAGAACGACCATTAGCCAGATGACTGAATTGTATTATCCTACAATTAACGAGGGCCAAATAGTGCGGTTATTGGTCCGAAGTAGTCGCGAGTCGATAATTTATCTCCGGGATGACCCAATTCCTCATTTATGACCACCTGACTGCCATGTTTTCTCTCGGTTTTCTTCGTCGCGGACCAATGAACCTCGATCCCGCCACTTTCACCTTTCGTTCCGCCGTTTAAGCTCCTAAAATTCGCTTGACCAGATATCCAGGGAAAGCGTAGATCGCGCAGGCGAGCAACAGAACGAGGAGCACGATCGTGAAGCAGCAAATGATCCGCCATTTGTAATAGCGGCAGACCACGAAGCGAAACGCTTTCCACGGGTTCCGGAACCAGGAGAACGAGGTATCCGGCCGGCTGCGGGTCACAGGAAATAGAAATTACTCGCCGTGATTGGCTTTCGTCGAAAAATGATCGTTAACACGTCCGATTACGGTAACCAATATGGCTTCCGCTCGACGGTGTCGGTTGGTGTACATTTAATTATGTAATGGCTGCCTGACAGCGGTCGCAAGGCTCGGTTCAATTACAGCGGCGAATCAATAATCTAATCACGTAGGTAAAATACGATGGCCATTAACTGTTTGAACGGTGTTCCTCATTAGATGAACGTTTAGAATTCGACTAGACGAGGATCCTGGTTGCTTCAAGATTAAATTACTTTGATCAGTGGCATGCTTTTTTACTAGCAAGTAGGAAAATATAAAAGTGTTCACTATTGTCTGTTGTTGTTCAATACGTAACGATTTCCTAGATTTGAGATTTTGCTCTGGAATTCTTTTACTCGAGCTTAATTAAGGAGGTAACTATTAGCAGGATTTAACGATATTACCCCGGTCTCGCGGAAGACGCTCGTTTAATTTAAGGGCGGTTACTTAGATTTCGTTAAAAACGTCATTGCTTCCTGTCATGTATTCTTTCCTACGGAAACTTTTTCATCTTATTACGCTGTGTACCATACTTTTTAATTAAGTTCCGTCATACTTTGGATGCGGGAGTTCCAACGGCGGGTCTCGTCCTTTGCCCGCGGGTTGTTCCTCGGCTTCCTCTGCTCGCAATATTGACATTTCCAGTTCAACTTTCCCCTGAATCGATATATTAGTGGACGTGAGTGTGTGCCAATATTTCATGGATGTCTCCGCGGAAAGAAAAAAGTTTATTAATTAATATTTCATGATATCTGTGTGCATAGGGTGTATTCTGAATAAATAACTTGGAGGAGGACCAAGTAATCCTCATGAAATATTCATAAAACGTTTCAATTCCAATATGGAATGGAAAGTATTGTCAGAACGGAAGGAAGCTACATTTTTCGTAGCGGTACGCGTCAAAATCATTTTACCTTCACCCAGCTGGTGAAGGGTGATTTTCGATTCCCTGGGCAGACTAGCTGCAGACATTGATTACTGATACCAGAAAGATCGTATTATACCTTGTTGCACTGAATTAACAACGACCGACGTAGACGTCGTTGCAGAATTAATATTCTGATTTCAATCATTATTCAACCCCATTATTGAATTAAATAACTTATCAACCATATAAAATTCTAGCTATCACAGCTGTTATACCTGTTAACTTCTATCAAGGATTCTAATTTTCGCGACTCGTTACCATATTCCTATTAAATAATTTATCAAGCATATAAAATCCTAACTGTCACAGCCATTATACCTTCTATCTATTTCAAAGGAATCAAATTTTCCTTTCCAAATGAAGTATTCCCAAGTACCCTGAAACAAGCGAGATAACTATTAACAAAACGAACCGCTTGTACGTAATTTTCGGTGCCAACGCTCCGCTGGAACGGCCACCATGCCCTGATCCTAGACACTTTGAACAAATCAATCGTGGGCAATTCCAGATCGAGCAGCCTGAGCGTGCAGTTTTTGGAATTCGGGCTTCCGCGCGGCATCCTCGACAGATCCAGGGTCAGGGCGCCTGGGAATTGATCAATTAATTTGCTGGCCATGCGGTTACACGCGCAGACGATATTGGTAATTAACTCTGCAATTCGAACGGCGCTGCGTTACCGAGGAAATCGTCCGGTGAGAAATGATCGCTGTCCCAAACTTGCAGCTGCAATTTGCACGGCAGTTTGTCCTCGGTTTTGCTCCTGGCCAGGACCGACACCTTTCTACGCACGATCATAACCCGCTCGCCCTTTGAGTACGTGACGCGAAATATGAACCTCCAGTTGAAGTTACCCTCGCCGCTCAGGGAATTGTAATGGACGTCGGTCTTTTGGTAATCGTCGTAAATAATCCAGCTGAGATTGAAAGAATCGTGTCAGGGAACGTTGATAAAGAATATATATATTTATCGTAGAAAAACAGGACGAACACATTTCTTCTAAGTTCTCTGAATTAACTTCCAAATTAATCCTCTGATTACGCGGTTCCATTCAATTATGCAGTTTTACGCGCACTCAATGCATGCGAAGTGCTACTAATCCTGAAAATCAATGGAGGGCGCTTTTGAATGGAACTTCGCCCATTTGTCTGATCATTACTCACTCTAACTACTCCGCTCACTGTCAACGCTGTTCATTCCCGCACCCATATTCCAATTATCACTTTGCATTACATTACCAACGAAATCGGGTAATTACATACTATTATTTACAAACGAATTGTTGATCAATAATACAAATTTAATTATCAAATGCTGTGTAAACACGCAATCCTCGTTGATTTCTGCCAACCTAATTACCTCGAACCGAAATCTTGTCAAAATATTCTCGTTACATTTTCCCAACGTTATACAGGAAATTACATTCTACCCAATACTACTAAACGTTACGCGTCTCTCCCTATCTAGAATTCCTATCTACCTCGTTGCATCTCTGTTAAAATTGAATCGAACAGTAATGAACACAAAGTGACTTCTACTGTCGCCGGTTTCACCGTGAAATCCTAAACCGAATTCCCCGTTCGCGGCACTCCAAAGATTTCAGAAGCGCCGTTTTACCGAAAAGCGTCGTTCTTGAGCGTACCCTTTCACGTAAATGTCGGAGCACTTCTCCCCGGTAAGAAATTGGCTATCGACGAGAGGCACGTCCTCGGTATTCCAAACGACCACGCGAATCTCGTACTCCCGCGGCACAGGCGGGCTAATGTCTAACGCCGGTTTCGGCGGAAGCTCGCCGAATTGAAACATGTCGATCCAAAGTTCCAATTTACCCTGGAACATCGGCCACCGGAAACCGCAGCTATCAGACCTGCCACTGAATATTTACGCGAACCGAAAAACGCTCGCAATTTTCGGCCGACCGGGCCCGATATATATCATTTCGCTAACAAATCGATCGATTCTCCGCCGTAAAATTGCGTTCGACGCCATTTACCGAATCTATCTCTGACGGAAATTCGTCCGGCTAAGCGTCGATTAACGGTATTCGTTCAATTTTGATGGGAACCGGAAAAGCGATCGACTCTGTAACCCGAAATAGGTAACATAAAGTGGCAAAGTAATCTTTTTTCGTCGGAATCCAAGTTTCCTATGAGAACTCGTTCGAAACATTAATGAAGTTCCGGTAAAATCGGCTGACATACAACGATCTGGAGCATTTATCGGACAACCTATGAATTCTCAAATTTGTTATACGGAGAACTTCGATCTGTACTTGAGATATACTGATATTGTTCAATTTATATCTAATTTTTCCACGAATGTCGAATGGTTTTGAATATTCCTCTGGTATACGAGGGACAGCGTGGGCTATCGAAAAAAAATGATGAATCCGTAATTCTTCGTTGTGTATTGAATTGGTCTGACAGTAAGATATTAGCAACCATTCGTTTTACTTCTCAAGCTTTTATCCAGCTCGACAAAAGAAATATTCGATAAAAAGGAGGGTTCGTGAAATGATATTTCCTTTGGTCCTTGCGCGGGCCAATCGAATCCATTCGCGGCCGTGGCACCTTGTGCTCTCAAAAGCGGCGGGGCCTTTATTCTCTTGTTCCCGTATTCCGCATTCACCGATTGAACAAAAAATTATATTTTTTTGCGTGCGTGTGTGTATGAGTTCTATATATATATAACCTGCTCCAAACCAGGCTTAGCGGCATTAAAGAGCGGCCGTCTTTCAACGTGTTCCGGCACCAGAGAGCAACCGCAAATGGGAAAATCATGCCACTGATGAAGCACGTCCAGTGCCGCGCATTCTTCCCAGTCTGTATGAAAGCCACCAATCGGTGATCTAACAGAATCCCTTTCCGCTTTTATGATCGATAATTTAACGCGTCGATCGCTGTGAAAAGGAGGGTTCCGCCTCCTTTTGTGAACCGTGCTATTCCCTCTTCTTCATTTAATCTACTATATTGTCACATTCTTTAAAATTTTGATCATTCTTATACTCCTTGTTAACTCCACTGATTTTCATTGAAATATAGTATTTTTGGTATCTTTTAATAAGACAAATGATCTACTACTGACGGTCCACACAGCAGTCAACGCGTTACACGATTTTTCAATCAAACAGACCAGCCTCGTCTTTCGATTGAGGATCACTGCGAAAGAATCTTTTTCGTCCAATTTTAACGTGATCCTTTCTGTACTCCGGTGCAGGTAAACTATTCCTCTTGCAAATGTTGAAGAGGATCTGTGTCGGTCTCTCGCGATCCCTCCAAGCGTTGTAACCAGATGCACTGTACGTTCGAGATATACCACAAGTTGCACGATGTCTGCTGTAGAATCGATTTTCTAGGTCGATCTTCGTTTCGCCTATGAGATCGTCTGAGGATGATGCGTCGTAGTCCCAGGCTTGAATTGTTAGTAGGTAGTCTTGAGGAAAAGAAGCCTCTATTTCGAAAAGCCTGTGAATTGAAGGATGTCAGCAATTTCAAGGGATGGATAGAAGTCTGGGAAATGTTGACAGGACACGAAGAAATTGCATTTAATTCTTTAGTCACTCATTTCGATTAAAAATGATTATATCTGCACTTTTATACTGTATTCTGGCAGCCCAGATGATTCATGGACGATTTTAGAAAATTCTAAAACAAAACCATTAACGTTCGTTATCGACCAACATAGTCGACTGTAGAACGAGTGACAAAAGAACACGATCAACTTTAATTATGCGAGCAGCGCGCCTTAACCCGAGGGACGGCTTAAACGCGGCTTCTATCTGGCCAAGTTAGATCAATTATCCCGGGAAAAAAGATAAAAGATATAATCGGAAATTAAAACGTCAGCTTGCCGTCCGAAGGTAGGATTCAGCTGGTTAGATATATAATTCTTCTTGTCGTTGATAAACGTTTTTCCAAGTCTGACGCAGAGATACGGGTCAGACTTTCCGCTTAGGGGATCGTTAGGCTGTAAGTTGATGCCTGCGGAGAGGATCGATTCGTTCCCATCAGTTCGTCGCGCAGGTCGATGAAGAAGTGTCTTCCACGCTACTCACCCTTCACGACGTACAGTCTAACCAGAAGCCTAACGGCCTCTGGCGACGGATAATCGTCGCAAACGCCGTTCGCCGCGTTCCTCCCGGTTTTCGTCTTGCAGGGAACGTCGCTCGGATGAGGCCAACGGTACACGCATATCCTCCCCTGCGGGAAAAGATATTTGCTCAGCTCGTCCAGCGAGCGAGTGAACACTTCATAATTCGATAGTAGATTTCTTATTTGCACGGTTAATATTTTAGGAAAATATAATGTACGGTGGCGTTAACCAGGGAAATGAAGTGGCCTTGGAATCTGTCGATGTAGCATCTACGTAAAGTGAATTATTGCGAGAAAACGGGGGATAGGGCAGAATTCAATTTCCGTTGGCGAAAATAAAGCGGTGGAACGCAGGCATTCGAGCCGTGAAAATTATCTTGTAATTGTTCACCGGAAAGCGGATACTCCTTGCTTGGCGACGATCCAGGTTCGTTAATGGCGGTTGATTAAACAGACTTTTAACGTGTTATTTAAAGGCGCCCGAGAGGCTTCGACTATTTTTACCTCTAAGCGACACGTTTTCTGTAATAGTGTTTTTGTTTACGCTGGAGAGACAGCGGAGAAGAATTTATTGCTAGCGTGTAAGTAATGGAAAGTATTCGAGGCCTTAAGTGCATGTTACTGTGGAGATAGCGGAGTTAAAATGTTTTCGTGAACAACTCGGAACTTGTTATCTCCGTTTTTCTTTCGTCTCCAGTTTAGCTCCAACATCGCTCATGCACGAAGGAAATTATGTGATACACCGATCTTAACGCGACTTGGATAAACTGGAACTTTTCACGTTCATTATAAATTGAATTAAAGTTTTATCTCTACACGCTAGAGGAACAGCTACGGCAGTGACATTGGACTAATTTCTGCAGTGCATTCACTTTCACCGCCACGGTCCAAGTTTCAGTCATTATCCATTAATTACAAGCAACAGTTTAAACCGAACCTTGAACTTCCCGACGTAATTATCGCTGTCGTAATCCGAATTCTCGTTCCTGCTGCCCTTCCACAGTTCGAACGTCCTGAGACGGTCCTGAAAGCCGGCGAACTGCGGTTGCATCTCCAATTCCCCGTCGTATACCTGTTTTCCGTCCAATGAGACAGGTGAGCTGGTGAAAATGCTTTAAAGCGTGTACCTTGAACGTCGCGAGCCGCTCACGACCTGCGGGAACTGAACTTCCCAGCTCTCTGCTCCTTTCCTCCTGAAATTACTCGACTTAACAGAAATCTGTGGAAACTGGAGTATAATAAGGTAAATGATCCTATCCACTGCCACGTTTTTTATTTTCAATTACAAGTTTTCCTCGTACTCATATAAATCAAAAATTAGTAGTTCAGAAAAACGTTTATCATATTCGTATTAATTAGAAGTCAATAATGTTGGAAGAAGCTAAAATTTGACATTTATCATTGATTGATCTTATTCGCATCAATTAAAAATTAATAATTCAGGAAAAAGGAATTATTCTAACATCTATCATTGATTGATCTTTATATTTGGTGTTTAGACATTCTTCGTGATAAATTTCTCACAAGAATATATTTTAAAACCATCAGTTATTCTTTATAGCTGTATATTTCTTTAAAAAGTGATACTTATGACGCAATCGGGTTCTCGTATGGTCGGCGATAGGGTCGTTAACCTTATCGCATTACTCGCGTGACCGATGCCTTTCGGTCATGTTCGCCTACCTCTAGAGAAGCGAAATATTTACTCCACCAATCGAGCGACTCGTCCTCCTCCTCCATACGTTCCACCCTTTTCTTCTTCGTGCCCCTCCTCCCTAATAAATGCGCGAACAGCTTCTTCAGCGATCGCAGAATTCTCTGGGTCCTCGATGAATGTTTAGCGGCCATCTTCTTGTACGAAATCAACCCCTTGTTTTCCTCTTTCGATGAATCGTATTCCGTCGGCAATGATACTTAATAAAAAATCATCTCTTATGATTAGACTTCTGAACTAATAAATTATTTCTTTCTAAATAAAAATGTTTATAACTGAAGTTCACTCAGCAAACCAGTAGATTTTCTCACGAAAACATCCAAGCTGTGTTTATATTTACATCAACGTTTTTTACACGTTCGAAGATACAGATTTAATTGAATGCCCATCAAAATGTATTTTGAAAGTTCAGAATGGAATACCGAAGAGAAATCCAGAAGCAAATAAACACGAGTTAATTCTCAGCTCGCAACTGGACCCGTTACTGTTTCCAGGGATTCTTGCACCCGCGGAAAGCATTTAGTTCCGAGTCGAAGCGGATAAACGTCCCCGTGAACTTCAATTAACAAAGTTTTCTGTTGCGTGCAGATGGAAACAGGATATTTCACCGCGGTTATTAACTTCCTCAGCGGAAATTTCGAATCGATGCGTGGGCTCCGATGTTCAATCACGGTGTTCAAATATTTAACAGAGAATTGCGTTTCATCGTCGCGTCAACATCGAAATGAAATTGTCATTGGTATTACACGGTGTACGCTTACCGCTTTATCACATTTATATTACTCCCACTGAAGGGTTCAACAAATCTTTCGTATCTCTCCCAGGTTTCGGAAATGATTAAAACAATTTAGGAGGACTTACGAATGGTGGACTGCTTTTTCGTCCACAGAGATTTAAATCTCGTCCCGTATATCTGCGCATCATAATCCTCTTCCGTTATTAATTGCTCTATGAATATGTGGACGGTAGGCACGATGCATACACCGATATACTTAAAGCAACCAAATCCTCGCGAGTCGTAAGCTTTTATTGTGACGGAGGGGTAGTAGATATCGAGCTCCGCCATGTCCTGTAAAAAAATTGCATTATAACATAAAGCTTCAACAGTCAATATTTATTTTTAAATATCACTAATCATTGACCTTATGAACAGTTCAAATTTAAAAAAACTTAAAAAGTAACTGTAATATATTCCCTTGATTTTAGAATTTATTATTAAGAATTGACTATAAATCGAGGAATGAAATATTTGAAACGTAGAGATAATTTAGAAACTCGTTACCAAGTCAACGACGATATGAGGTTCCTCGAAGTTATTAAATCTCTTCGCGTTCTCCATCACCTCTGACTTGACATCGACACCGGCACACTCTATAATAATTCGAGGCTTCAACACCGGCACGTAATTTATCTTCTTCATGTCCCGGATGCCCCAAAATATTACTTCGAGCCTGTACCTCGCCATTTTCGGCCTGATGTCTTCCGGTATGCTGTATATAATCTCCTGTTTCGAGTCGCTTATCGGCTTGTCCGCTGTCTCATCCTCTTGAACCTAAACATTGCGCAGATACTTCGACGTGGAACATCTGGGTACAGAGAACTGTCGGAATCATTTAACTTTGCGCGACGGAACGAAATGAATGCATCGTGCGGAGTGTCTCCGAGCAAGGCGACTTAAGGAACTTTCCGCCGTCTACGTCGAGAAACTTTGAACCTACTAAAAACAATTCTAATATTGAAGATTCCTTATCTTAATATTAAAACGGGGCAGAAGAGTTCCCGAGAACAGAACTTGAGTCTTCTTTCCAGACTCTCTAAATAATTGCTCGTTCCATTTTTCCGATTATCCGGAGATTCTTTAAGCTCTCCATAGATAACGGTGAAAGTAACCTCTCCGCGCTCTTTTAATTTAATTAATTAACCCTTAACATACCGGAACTATCTCAAGATTACTTGCCGTCAAAGAATACCGAAACACAATTAGCAAGCGGAAACAAATTCACAGAAGTGACGTAGCGCAATACTTAACGTGTTAATTGTAAATATTACAAGAATGACAGTGATGAAAATAATAAAACGATTCTTACCGCCATATATGCGGCATTGGATCCTCCGTTAAGGGTTAACTATTAAATTTAACTTCTCTAGCAACATGTGTATACAAATATTGCAAACACCGACTGAATTCGGTACGTTCCGATGTCATCTGCCTCTCGAAATTAATTCGCAAAAGCAACGACCGAAATCTCGGAGACACGATACAGCTCGCACCTCGCGAATATCGATTGGTATCGCCCCCTCTCACCTCTATAAGCTCGAATGCAGCGAGCACGGAGCCGGTGCAATCCCTTTGCGATTTAAATTTGTACCACTCGAGTTTCGGAGGGAAATCAGGTGGCGAGTAAGTTTCCTCCGCGAGTTTAACTAACGGAACGGCTGTGCATCTTCCGCAGAACTCCTTGATGCCCTGTGAATCCCCATCCAATCGCGTTACAGCTCGAACCGGTCCGCGAGAGTCACCGCGGAACAGTGACGTGTAATTAACCCTTTCGCTACCGTGGATTTAGACATCTAATCATTTTTGCTGGACCGACCGCTATGTCATGAGTGCATTCTCGAGCTTAGATGTATTAGCCGGTGACCCACTAGCTGAAAAGTCATAATGGAAAGGCGACGATACTCTATTGAGTAGCTGTAGAAACAGCAACGACTTAATTTTAACACATTGTTGTCATTAGTTGTTTGTTAGCGTAACGAAGAACACGAACAAAACTGACTATGCTGATGTCAGATGTATCATTGGACTTCTCAACGTGTGGATAAGTGTTTCTGCCGGCCTCAAAAATTTGCTTCCGTAATCAGTTTTTTAATAGAAATCTATCAGCCATGTTGCTTTCTTATAGTCTAAGTGTGATCATTATTACTTATTCGCAGTTACTTTACTAACTAACCTTTTCTAACTAACTAACCAGTGATAACGAAAGGGTTAAACACGTCCATGTCGCGAGAATCGTTAAGTACCCACGCGTACGTCTTGATCGAACACTTCCACCACCACTTTCGGAGGATCCCCTTTGACATGCCCCTTCGTCCCGTGAATGGTGCACGATGGAAGGATCAGCGTCTGATCCCAGAAAGGGTCCAAGGTCTGCTTGATAGCCTGCGATACGTACATTACTTCTAATCCTCTTTGCTGACGCCCGGTAACCGTTAGTGCAAATCCCCTTAAGTAATTGGGTGTGAAGTTGAGAATTCGGGGGTGCATATTGATTCGATGCTCGGGGAGCTTTGGAGGTCTGACTACTTTCCCCTGGTTCTACTTTACATATATTCAGCGCGGATTAAATTGTTCTATAAATTATTCTAATAGGTATTAACTGCGAAGTTTAAATATTGAGCTGATTGACATGCGCCATGTTGATATTATCCAACTTTGCGTTTGCTTAATACTCTGAGACGCTTCGTCGCCTCGTGGAATATAGCGACGATAATTCTAGTTGAGTTTTAGTGGCTCATCGTTAATCAAAGTCAAAGTTCTTTGACGGTATTGAGAGACACTCTCGATAAAATCGTTAGACGAATTTATGGGACGATAATATATCTTTTGGTTCTATGTTCCTCTTGTTCGATCGATGTCAGTTGATTCGACGTTCTTCAAAGGGAACAATTAAGGAGCTGGTAGTTAGGTTGCGCACGTGTACACTTCGTTTCCGCGAGGAACAGACTCGAATTCATACGAGGGGCCAGATAAAAGCCGAAAATTGGCTTCGCCGCTGACAGACACCGCGGGAATCCATTTACCGACAGCGAGCCCGAGTCTCTTCACAAAAGAAGGCTCTAGGCTTGTAATAATAACACAACTCCCGCGCACTTGTCAGCGAGACCCGGTGAATTATATCGACCTAGAAAACTTACTCTGGTGGCGGCCGTGTAGCCATGAAATGCAACACGTACGAGTGGATCCAATAAGCCGGATGCATCCATCCCGGGATCAAAGCGACCTTGGAATATGTGAGCACGTAATTGGAATACCTGCAATGCAAGATACGGGATAGGTTGAAATTATTTCGTTCGCGGAGTTTCGAGTAGTTTGACGACCTCGTTCCCGAATAAATTAATATTTTTCTTTGCATTGCGAACAGGCTGTTGAGATTGATAAATGTGTGGTTCCTTAGAGTAATTTAGAAAAAAGTGGAATCATATTCGATATCGAATTTGATTAATATCGAATTGTATGGAACTTCCTTTACGAATTTATAATTTTCGCTATTTCGATACTGTAATATCTTTCTATTTACTTTAGCATTTAATTTTAATATTTTAAATTGTCCAATTATTTTGTACGCATATCCTTGTGTCACGAGAGGAAAGGACCCACTCTATCCTCCAAACGAGGTGTGTGATTAATTGAAACTAACGCAAAAGAGGTTTAACGATTAAAACGTTCATTCAATCGCATTTAAAAAGGCGTGTTCGCCTGGGGGCTACTTCGTGATTCCAGAAAGGTTTAAATTACGTTTCACATTACTGTTATGACAAAGGGGCAGACAGCTCGACCTCAGTCACTCTTTTTCCTCGCGTTTCACGGTAGATCTTTATATCCGAATTAATCCTTCAACCATTTCAATTTCCAGTAATCTCATTAATAAACATCTATATTTAAGCCAAATAACATCTGAAACCGACTGCACGTTCAACCTCTCACTTTGATGTCGCATGAACAACCTAAATATCAAAAAATTCCTGTAAAAACTATCTCTCCCGACATCCAAATATTCCTCCATGCATACGTTAAAAAGCATCCTCAAAAAATTGATCTGCTCTCGCACAGCCGCATAATTCAGCGCAATTTGTAAACTGAAGAACACTCGAGGAAAATCAATAATAAATTTCGCTCGTCGACGAAACCCTCGAAAAGAAAACTACACTTGTTTCCGCCTGCCCTCGGCCAAATTCGATGATTAATTAAAACAGTTCAAGGTTATACCGAGGACCGAGTGTACTCCACATATTTCGGGAACACGTCGAGGTTCCTTTCGTGTTCCACGTCGTATCCCGGCGGAATGGCGGACCAGCACGCGCCGATGTGCTCGGTTCTGCCCAGCCAGAGGAAAGCCTCCATCTTGCAAGCGGCGTAATCGGCTCCTTGATCCTCGCGCGGGTTCCTCAGGAACGCCTGGATCTTTTTCCCGCATTTCAAGCCTCTCTCGTTCGGGTCCTCGGAGTAGATTAATTCCTCAGCCGGAAGTCGCGTGCAAGCGACGCGCTTCGATCCGGCCGTCATCCAGATGGAGACGTCTGGAAGGCTGTGCTGCGGCTGAACAATTCGTAATAGGTGAATTGTGAATTATCATGCAAAATGGTTGTTTTCTAAAACGATTCAAAGTAGTTTAGAGGAATGACTGGTGTTCGTGTAAATTATTACAGTAATTCGAACGAAATGGTTAAGCAGAAATTGGTTTCTTCCTTTTTGGAATTTGAATAAGTTAAAAGTATTCTTAAATTCTTATAAATATTTCTCTATTTTACATTTTATGCTTTCGTGTTTATTATAAATGCAATTACTGTGCTCAATGATGACTTTCAGAAGTACTTTAAAGTAGTTTAAAGGAATACTGTCAAGAAGTATAATGGTAATTGTAAATTGTTAACTTCTTATAAATATTTCTCTGTCTATATTTTATCTATTTATATTCGTCATAAATGTATGAAACCTTCACTATATATAACAATAATCTTCCGCATCGCGCCAAGACGGATCCTCCATCGAGACAAGCGACGACTAAGAAGTGCTGTCGCTTAAATATTTAAATTTCGCAATTTCTACCGAGCAAAGTACCAGCGGCGTTGTCTACGGTTCACGTTCCGGTAAATTCCCGTTGAAAATCTTCGCGCAGGGAAACCTAGAAACTTTTATGACTTCATTCGCTTTTTCATCCAGTAAGTCACTTTCTTTCTCGCAGAGGAAAGGGTACGGGAAGTTTAGGAGGTTTCCAGAGCTCTTCACCCTCTTACGGGACAGTGTTTTCGGAGGGAAAAAGGAGCAGCCGGAATCGAAATTAAATATGACTCCCAAAAAACGTCCTTTGAATCGTCGCTGGGAAGTTTCGTAGAACTTCGGTCGGAAGTCATTCAACTCCGGAGATTAATTTGCCGTCCCGGTAAATTGCGATAGGGGTTGGGCTCCTGCTACTGATCGCTCGATGGAGTTCCATTATCCTTTGAAGGAATTCCGTGCACTGGGTGGAACGAATGTAACGTCTTTTTTCGACAATGCAAGCCATCAATGAAAGATACTCGTACAAATCGGTTAATCAATCATTCACTTCGAACCGAGAATTTTAAACTGGAATCTCTTTTGTTTCACTGAAATTCGTCTCTCGATAAATTTTCCCTTAAAACTGTCTCATTATACGTTCACCTTCACGTTTACGAAACTCACGAATCCATCGACTAGTCTACCCTCCCAGAGTGCAAAGACCTCACTCCATTTATTCATAGATACGAGCCCGCGAGGAATCGATCACTTTATTGTGCGCTCCGCGCGTTTCATCCCCGCGT